GTTTGCTGCAAAAAATTTTCTGATCTATTAACGAAAAGTGTCAGTGATGGACTCGTTCCTTTTTTCGAGATATTTTCTTTTCTCTCTTGCTACCTTGATATTTTAGTTTGGCAATTACCATATCGGTGAGTACCTCATCGTGGTCCAGGAGTGAGATGTTCAACATAGACCTAAGAAATCACGAGGCGGTTAAAACTTTGCCTTCCGTCCGGAGAATCGCTGACCTGGTAGTTTGTTCAATAGACAAAGCGAATGTCAGGATTGCCAGTAGGTTAACCACAAAGCGACGCAGAATTGTTTAGAGCAACTGAAAAAGTTGTTAGTTGCATAGTTAGTAAAGCAAATTATGAAACGCATAGTGTCGAAATAGCTATAACTAAACGAATAAGTATGAGTATAAAGCATTCCAAAGTTCAATGCAAAGAAGAAGTACAATCTCGGGTGTAAATCGAAGTGAAAACGAGCCACATAGAAAGATTTTTTCGTAATAGACGCACTCAAATCAACAATGGACCCCTGAGAGTTCGCCATTATAGTCGAGAACCAAAACCTCCAAATTCTTGTGATACTTCTTCATCTAAGGCATCAAGCAGTCCTGTCTCGCGAGTTCCATTAACAGTTTGGATGATGTCAGGAAAAGGGCAGACATGTGGAGTACAAAAATATTTGTTCAAGCAGTCATGCCTATTGAAAAAAGTGGTCGACTGGCCACCCCGGATGCCATTCAATTTCCCATTTGCTTTATCACCTTTGCTGAACTGCAAATTCATTTTTGCCCAAAATACCTGAATTTTCCTCAAAAATTGAGTCATGCGCGAACCTCTTCTTGCATTCTCTACCTCCGGTTTTTTTGTGTTTTGTGAATTTGACTCACTCGTTCAGTACCTCCGGTTTGTTTGTTTTTTTTGGACTTGACTTACTGGATTCTAAGAGAGTTACTATTTATAGCCGAACTGGACTACCAATTTTTCCATTGTGTTGCTGTAAAGGTGTTTATGTTTTGATCAGTTCGACACCCTGCTACTTCGCAAGTATGTAAATGTTAGTACGGCTGATATGTTATTGAACAACCAGGATTATTTTGCCCAAAAGGGTCAAATCCTAACTTGATCAGGCAGGAATATTGTTCAGTCATATGTATCACTGACTCCATCTCGCTACTGCTAAAATCCATTTGTCTCTAGCCTGGACCCGAGAGCTTCACTACAATTAGCGAAAGCAACTAAGTCCCCTACGGCGGGTATTTTATCATTTGTATTTCCTGAAACTTTCTGATATGAGAAATCATCGCAGGAACAATGCGCTCCAGCACGTCTTGCGAAGCAACTAAGTCCCCACGCGGCGGATATTTAATCATTCATACTTCAACTCTCCAGTCAGAGAAATTAGCAAGGGAATTATATTGACTGATATGCAGCAAATTTAACAGAAAGGGGCCAGAATCATATGAATTTTGAACGCCGCGTATTAGTGAGTGATACCCGCGAGAAAGTAAATGACCATTCGGGTGGCCTCCGAAGAAGTGGCGCACATGCGCCGAAGAAACTAACTGGAAGTATGCTGCCCAGGATTGAAGGATCTGGCGTAGCTGCGCGCAGTATGTGAAACGAATCCAATAACACCACTAACTTAGGATATGCCCAAGCAATCTGGCATCATACAAAAATCACCTGTTCGGGAATACATCACGCATTCATTAAATGATCTTGAGATAAAACTTTTTCATTTTTGCATGTATTACGCAAAAACGCCTAAAAATGGAAGATATCAGCCCTCATTACCGATTTTCCTCATTCCTCTAGTCCCGCTTTTCCTCCTGCCTTGCCGTTTTCCCGCAAATTCCGTTTTCTCCTTTCATACTCCTCCGTTTTATCTTCTCTTTGGCATGGTTTTGCTTCTGTCTTTTCTATCTTCATAAAAACTTGTGTATTTTCGTTCCACTCATTCGCTTCGATAGTAAACTGATACTGGCGCATGTTTGGCATTATCTTGTATCTAAGCAACCTTTTAAAAAGGGAATCATCGATAGCCTTGTTCATCTTTTTCTGCCTTTTGCAAAGAGCGAGTTCGTAAGAGATTTTGACTTGCTGAATTAGATTTTGATTTTGTCAAGAATGATTTGTGATTTTTTTGCTTTCAGTGATATATATTATGTATGTGTAACAAAAGCGATGCTCCATATCTGGCAAAACACTTTTTTGAATTTTCATCACGTCACTGGTGTGTTGTGAAAAACTGATGTTTATGCCGAAGGATCATTTTTTGCCCATTTTCAGGATACATTCCACTACGTCCAGTGAGCGAACAACTGATGATTTCTATCATAAATTTACCAGCCGAAACGCCATCTGAATATTTCGCTACTGCGCCGCGAAGCCGCAGCACATGTGAGGCACTGTTCTGGCAACATAACAGACCATCAAATTACAAGGCATACTTGCCGGATGGAAGACGAATCGGATATCCAAATCCACCGGTTCGTATATTATCAGTTAAAAAACTAAAAAAAATGAGTAAAATTACTGGATTTGCAAATATTCTTGGGCGGACTGCTTTAGGCTCTCTTCCGAAACCAATCTGAGTCAAAGGATCAGCCGAGATGGTGGTCAGGGTTATTATTATAGGGTTTCTAAATGGAGTATTTAAGGATCCGAATTTATTATGGCAAGATGCGCTGCAGCGATCGATGATGTACAAGCTGGAAGTTGACGGGTTACGAATACGATCGAAATCCTGCAGTAATATTTGCAGAATGTGCGATCAAAAAATATCGAAAGGTTTGTACAAAACGCAGTAATATATTGTTAAAATATACTTCGTTTCTCAACCACTCGAGTGATCTACGTAGAAATAAGGCACATAGATTAAACAACCTGAAGGTATGTAGCTCAGGATCGAAGACCTGGCATAGCTGCACCCGGCACGTGAGAGTATCCCAGTAACACCACTAACTTGGAATCCGCACACAGATTATTCGGCCGGCCTTGGTCTGTCTTCAAAATACCTCAAATTCTTCGTGCAAAATAATGTAATGTTAAAGTGGAGCAAATTTAGCTGTTTCTCGGACTCATATTTTCATTCTAGTTCCTTGAATATGTTGCTGTCAAATTCTGAATTTCTGGACAAAAGTTTATACGCTTGAGCAGCGTCAAATCGTTCGGTTACTAATTTAGCCAATTCCTTGTATCTGCCTGGTTGTATTCTCGAGCTGGTTAAGTCGAGAAAGTACTTCGGACTCGACTATTCAATTAAAATACTTGTCAGCTAAAAAACCTGAACAGTTATTTGCCACATTTTGGATTTTATAGTGCCTTTAGTAGTGCTTGATTTGTTTTTTTCCCTAGTATAAGCAGCTTACATTGGCAAAGCTGTGAGTATTTGTTTTATTTAAGAGTTGATTTCTTGAAAAGGAAGTCAAAGAAGCCTTTAGAGCCCCTTGTTATTTTTAAGAAAACTATCATCGAATTGCTAGAAAATCATCCAAAAAGCTGTCGTTTAGAATATTTTGGATTTGGATGTGTTTGAAATGTCGCTTGAAGGATCAAATTTCTACATAATTTCTTACTTTTATGAATTTGATAGGACATCATATATCATGGGTTTGATTAGAACAAATATGTAAATCATTATTATTGTCCTTTCTTATTATTGTTACTGTTATTGCCATTGTTATTATTATCATCATAGTTACGTTTTGTTATTGTTGCCCCATTAATCATACCTTTTACCTCTTCTTTTATGACGTTCATTAACCTTTCCATTATATTTCGTTGCAATCAAATGTAAAGCTAAAAATTAGGAATATACGACGTCACGAAAGTTGCATGGATTACTTTTTAAGTGGAAAACCATGTGGAAATGCTAGTGCTGCATTTTTTAGTTCTCCAAAAAAACCAAAAAAATTTTTTTTGAAAATTTTTACTCATTTCTAGCATAATTTTGGTCATTTCTGTCCATATAACACTGCGCAAGTTCAGCAAAAATTTAGAACTTTTGCAAAGAAGGAGCCCTGGAGTCCTTAGTACTTTCAGGAAAAAAAACCCACTTTTTGTCATTTGTCATGATAAAATCAATAGAAATTGCGTCATGAAAAGTGCAAGAAAGAGAGATGTTGCATTCGTAGCAGTTGGGAGACGTAGGTAAGGGAGGGGTGCACAACTTTAATTTTTAGCACAGCATTTAAAATTCAGTAACAAAACTAGTCATTTCTATTAACCAACTAGTATGAACGATTTTAATCCATCAGTAATTATGGCTTGTAAATTACTTACTTTGACATTTTGATCGTCTATCACGCTCCTTTTTCCCACTGATGCAGCTGGCAACTTTTCCACTCTTCTTTGTTTGGGGCCTTTCTCATTCACGTATTTCTATTTAAGTTTTCAGACGGGATCCTTCCGCCACACTGCTGGCTTTCCTTGCGTTTTCTCACCATATATGTTAAAAGTCTATCAGTTAACTGGACAAATTTGCACAAGTTTTTTTTGTCCGGAAATGCTGGCTATAAAGCGCTTTGGTAACGAAAAATAGCTGCGTAGAAAAGGTTAGGAGGCACAGAGACGAAAAAAAGGAGCGGATTACACTTTTTGAAAGGTCTAGCGTAAACGAGGAGCGTGCATGATGCTGGTTTTTGCTGCTTTTCAAATCACTAATCGGCATGTTTATACTTTTTTGAATATGTTCCAAAAATAACTATGGACATTTTATATAAACACAGTAAACATTCCCACAAAAACAGGTCTTTGATGCATGGCATCTTTCAAATTATTTTTTCTACTACAACAATAAAAGTTAAGTATCCTTCCGAGGTGAAAACGCAGAAAGTCATCTAGCTGAGCGAGAAATTTGAAACTGAGAAGTTTTGAATCATTAAATTTACCGTGTTTATAAAAAATTATTAGATACACAAAAGAACACACGTTTTGGCAAGATCCACAAACGAAAATTTGCAAAAAAAGGTACGTTTCCTAGAAAAAAACAAAAACGATACATTTCTCAGACATGAAAGACAAAAACGGATAAAGATCAGCGCACGAATTACCTAGATAAATCTGTAGGTGGTAGGTTTCTAAAGTCGGAAACCTTAAGATGCTGAGAAATAATATTTTGAAGAACTATTGCTTCACCGTCTCGTTCCTTCTCACTAGTGATGCAGTTGGCAGGTTCTTCATTCATCTCTGTTTTGGACCTCTTTCATTCACAAAATTTCATATGGCCACTCAACGAATATCCTCCATAGCATGGAGGCTTTCACCGTCTTCTAACATTGTTTGGGTACCATCCAATAATTAAGTTTTCTGTCTGTTGCCTCTCATTCTAGTCATGTAGTCATTCCAATTCTTTTTGCTGGTGCACTCTGCCCCGAAATGCTTTTCAAATATGTGCGCTTTCGAATTCATTTGAAGGAAATTTTTCTGATAAATTTGCCAAAAATGTTTTCCACGCCCTTAATTTTTTGCAGAAGTATCTTTTTAGGAAAAAAAATTTAGTGGCGCGTCTATGCTATAGCTTTTATGCCGTTTGTGCTAAACCTTATTTTACTTGAAACACTTTGAATTTGAAAATTACAAATTTCTTGATTTTTTCAGAATCCGTCAAAATCTAACATTTTGGCAATTTTTTGAAAAAATTCATCAGCATCAGTAATATAAAGTCCCAGCATTGTTCGTCTAGTTCGTTGTATTTAAAGAAGTTATTTTGCAGTTGATTGTCCAGCTGAGGAGAAAAACAGTTTGTTCTGGAAAATACACGATGAGCATGAGCACCATCGTTATGCGATTGCGACATTCGTCAGGAAGACAAGTGAAATGGTAGAAGAAGCAGGGCAAATCTTTCTACGAATAGAGCCCACAAGCAACAAGGAGTTAGCCGAATTCAAAAATGAGCGCCCAACCAAACTCGAGCTTCCCATCAGCTGAATTTTGGCAGTGTTCAAAAATATCAGCGGCAATGATCTTTTTTTGATGTTTGGTGCGAAATTTTGCCAAAATTGGACAAAAGTCCATTAGGGCTGCTAAATTCAAACCCAGCTCACTAGCAGAGAACCAATGCCCGGAAAAAATCCTGAATCCATACTTCCAGCCCAAAAATTACATGTTCAGAAATACAAATAAATCCGAAAAAAAAATCAAAATTCTTGCCCAGGATCAAGATAACTGAGTTGTCCACAACATAAAAAAATTTAGAAATTATCTGTCAATTGTTATGGCCAACTGCCTGAAATTTTGCCCAGTATTAGGATTTTCCTTGAATTTCAGATTTCACTTAAATGTTCTCACGCAAGAGCCTGGGATTGCTGGCGCGATTATTAAGTTGTTCTGAAAAGAACATAGCTAAGATCCTGAATTTGGTAGGTGCGATTCCCTGAGAC